GGCCTGGATTTCACATTTAACGAGAACGTTTACAATTTCACAGTCGTTTTCTGAAGTCTAGGTGGGGCTATGAACAGACCACTGCTTTCTGGTCTGGTTCAGCCTCGACTGATTTCTGCCTGTAAGCGGACTCATGAAACCCCAAACAGTTTCTTTTTCAGCCTAAGCACAGTTGTGGCATGTTTCAATCAGTATTTCAGAAGCACAAATTCGTAGATTCTAAGGACAGCTGGGACAAATATGATCATCTACTTTTTCCTCCTGCATTCCCCAGGACACTGGGCAAGCATTTGGCAGGACAAGCACTTAACTATATGAACAAGCTCTGCTCTCCACCAACATCAAAATGTTGCAGCCTCTATGCATTTTTAATTCCTTTCTTTTTGCTGGCGACACACCTTCCTAAGCAGCAGTTGTCTGAGGTATGTTAGAGATGCATCGGCTTATATATGTTAACATGCCTCAAACTCTGTAACCTCTCCTCACGTGGGGCTTTCTCCATTAAGACAGTTGCCTTCGTTTATCGACTTTCTTGCAAGCATTTGGCTTTCCTCTGATCGCATCCGTACGCATGGCCCAACACCACTGCTATGAGACTGCTTGCTATTTCTGGACCCAGTCCCTTCTGCCGGTCAGGATTACAAAAGTAAATAGCAGTGCCAGGCAGCAGGTCCGATATCCAGGTGGCTGGTGACCCCCCACCTCATCCTGCACACTCTAACCTTTCACAGCCTCCCTGAATCTGCAAAAGGATACTCTACACAAAGGTCCCTAACCTCCCCAAACTCTAGGATCCAGAGGACTCCCTCCCTATGCACACAGGGACAATGGAGCTTTATGGGATGCCCATTTGAGGGGGACAGCCCACAGAAACTGTACCCCTCCATCATGGCGCTACAGACGCTTCGCCTCCCTATTTAGTGATCCACCACAAGAGCCCATGTTCCCACAGTGAGACATAGAGAGGAACCATTGTTCTCCTGTACACCATCCCACAAAGTTCCCCCTCTTCCCTCCACCCGAGCTATACCTCACAGAAACCTTCCCTTCCTTGCCCCATAACCACTCCCCACAGAACCCTCCCCACATGGATGCATGCCCATCCACGGAGCAGAGTGACAATTCGGAACGTAATTTCTCTGACCGTCCCCCCAGAAAGGACTCCCCCCCACCCTAGGCCTCTGAACCATCATGCTGCAGAACAGCCATCTAGAACACGTCTTCCATCTCAGCAGGGCCTCGGTCCCCCTGCCCACCACACACAGCAAGATTGCACAGAATGGCATCCCGGCGCCACAAGAGTGTCTACCCCGATCTGAGTTCTCCCGCCTTAGCTCAGCAGCAGGCTTCTGCTGACAGACCTGTTGAGGTAGCTCATTGACACCGAGACATAAACAGGACACTTGGGTTCACAGATGACTTGGGAATGCTCATTTATTTTGGTCGCTGAATGCCACACGGGACACAGTGCCTGAAAATAGTGGGACATGCCGGCAAGCTTATATAGCGTGTCCATTTTCTGGAAAAGTTTTCCCTTAAAAGCATTTTCGGAAAAAAGCGTCTAGATTGGCACGGACGCTTTTCCGCAAAAGCACTTTTTGCGGAAAAGCGTCCGTGCCAATTTAGTCGCGCTTTTGCGCAAAAAAGCCCCGATCGCCATTTTCGCAATCGGGGCTTTTTTGAGCAAAAAAATCTGAGCTGTCTACACTGGCCCTTTTGTGCAAAAGCTTTGCGCAAAAGGACTTTTGCCCGAACGGGAGCAGCATAGTATTTCCGCAAGAAGCACTGATTTCTTACACGAGATCGTCAGTGTTCTTGTGGAAATTCAAGCGGCCAGTGTAGACAGCTGGCAAGTTTTTCCGCAAAACAGCTGCTTTTGCGGAAAAACTTGCCAGTCTAGACACAGCCTACAGGTTTTTGCCAGTGGCAGTCTCTGCTAAAGGACAAGCTACAGTAGCAGTAGCCAACAAAGATATGGAAGATAAAAATCTCCCACAAGCAGCTGAAGACAGATGTGAGCAAGCATCATTTATCCCTTCTGACCTTAAAGTCTATGAGTCTATAATAATACAAATAATTGGTCAACATTTTTTGCATTAAAATAGTCCAGTCAGAAAATGCAGTTGTCTTGAAATCATATTTTTTTCTATCAAGAGAATTGGGACAAAAACATTCATTTTGAGTTGACATTTCAAAACGAACCAACATTTTACATTTTGAAATGGCAGTTCAAACCAAAAAATGTCATGTCAAAATGTAGAATTGTTTTAATTCACTCAAAAATGTTGATATTTTTCATTTGGGTATTTTTTTAATCCAACACGTATCCGCATTTTTCACTCTGCCACAGTTTTCAATATTTCAAGGTACGGTTTCAATTCTGAATGGAAACTAATTGCAAAAGATTGAAACTTCATGAGGGACAAAATTCCTGACCAGTAATAACAACAGCAACCACAACAATAATTATCTGGTCCTATGCTGCTGAGTTAAGAGATGGTGTTAAAGGTTACATTCCTCTCTGCTGGTGTTCACACGGAACATTTTTCTGAACGCTTTTGGTAGATGCCTGATAATCAGTGATCACTGGATGACCTTTAAAATATATTAATACTTGAAATGTTACATCGATCCAAGCACGTTAGAAGTTTTCTGCTCCCCTCTGTTATCAGGAATTTCATTAATATTTTGCCAAACAGGCAACAAAGAGTCAAGAACCCAGGCACAGAAACACTTTAATTTTCATCACACAAGAGTCTGTGCTGTTGTTGTTTAGTGTTATTGCTATTTGCTGATGGGATCATTTCTTGTTTTATCCCCCAGACTCTCACTGTCCTCTCAGCATGTGTAAAATTAACTTCCATCTGCACCATTCACACAGAATGAATGTAATCTGAGGCTAAAATTTCCTTCCAACAAAAGAAAAACAAGAAAAAAAAAATCTCAACAGATGGAAAAAGTCTTGCCTTGATTTGTTACCAGAGTAGATTTGATCTTGAAGTCACTAGGGAACATAAATACAGAAAACCAAGAAGCCAGTCCATAGAATAATTTTTCTGCCTGCCTGCAACTCTGCTTTAAGAGTCAATATTAGACTTGGGAGGGGACTTATTCCAAACAGTGACTCCAATCAAAACACAAGATTGTTAACACTAGTGAACTACTGTGAAATTTGGATTCATACTCTAAGTCACATCTTGCTCCTTTCTCTGTGACAGCCCAGCCAAGCCCCTAGATTTAAAAACTGCTCCCTTCCCCATTCCCGACTCCAGATCTATCCAAATCCAGATATAAACTCATTGCTGTGATTCATCTCCAGCAAAACTGGGCAGGAAATAGTTTCCCACACTTAAAAAAAAATCAATTTTCCTCCATCCCCAATCATGACAAAAAGTCAAAATCTCCAGCATTTTCCAACAAAACAACTAATTAAACATTTGTAATTTGGGCCAATTAAAAAAACAACAATACATTCTGATAATTGAAAACATTTAGTTTTGATGTTGTCTCTTTTTTTTATTATTTCAATCTTTTTGGGTTTTGCCTTGCTTGAGATTTTGACAATTTCAGAAATTTAATTTCGACATTTTGTGGAGTACAGAAACTTAAAAAAAAAATCAATCCTTTCCTATGGAGTTTCAGTTTTAAGGAATCAGACATTTTCAGCAACAACAACAAAATCAGTCAAAACATTTCGGACCAATTTTAATGTTCAGTTTTCTCTTCATTGTGTGGGGAGTATACACTTATCACTGATCAAAGACTCCTTGCTAGAGAAACCTATGATTTACTCAAGGCACAATTTTTGAAAGCAAAGAACAGCAAAGAATACTCATTAGACCCAAATGAAAAGTTGGGGGGGGTTTGGTATGAAAGGCCAGACTGGAGAGCGTTTCTATTCTGAATACTATTGCTAATAAGGAAAAATAAATAAATACCAACTATCACTGGTCACCAATGAGATTGCAGAAATGTTACTTGCCTAAAAAGAAGGCAGGTTGTAGGATGGTCAGAAGAAACTTATTGATAAAAATAAATACAAAATTTGTAAAGAGGATGACCGAATCTTCCGATTCTGTGGCAACTTTGCACATCATCTTTTTTGCATGAAAGTTTTTGCCGCGTGGTTTCCTTGTGTCGCAATTTGTTTCTGGTATTTTGCCCAGCTTGACAGACAACTTATCATAACCTGCCAGCCTTTTATTTAGAAGCAGAGATTTTAATTTATGCAGAGACTTCCACCAAAGCCACTTAAGGAAGCACTTATCCCTATGGTGCACACTTTGCAGCTCCTTTCCTGACATACGCATGAACCATGGACTATAAAATGGGAACAGGTAGTACCTCTCCAAGGGCCAATGACATTGACAGTAACTCAGTATATTTTACAGTCTTTGGCAAGATGTGCATAAAATTTCATTGGGAACATCACATCATCAATAAAACAAATTGTGCTTCCACTGTTTTAGTGGGTTTTCCAAGTTTGCCTGCAAAGCCATGACTCTTTTGTTGAGAGAGAAATGACATTGCCCACAAAATGAAAGAGAAGGACAATTGGGTGGGTGGAGAACAAGGTTCCATCTTAATTTTTTCCATCCATGCATAGAATAAATTTTGTTAAGTGCACTGAGGCATGTGTAGATGTGCACTAGTAGTAGAAACACATGCTGTGAGCACTGTGGACACTGCTAAACATCTGGTGGTGTCAGATTTATGCATAAACTAAGCAAGCTACATTTTAGGGCCTCAGATTATGAGTGGCCTCTAAACACAAACAAAGTATGAGTTTTTAGTTGCATCCTCACCTATGTACTGGTATATATGCAAATATAAATCGTTATTTCTATTTTCATTGTCCTTTCTGTTAGAATAATACACATTTTTTTGCTAATGCTATGGGACCTCTTAAACTTGACATAAGGGATATATGGCCCCATAGCATCCAAAGGGACTACGAATGCATGACTTAAAAAAGTGTGTATGTGTGGAAGATAACCAACCTTGGTGAAATATCGCATCCTTGCTGCATGAAAGCTCCCAAGGAGAACCAGAGACTGTTAAATATCCCAAATTCATTAGTCTGGTCACTGACTGGCTGGTCGCGCCCTTCCTCGAACTCCTCCGTATGCCATTCATAAGGGCTGAAACGGCTGACCAGGAAGAGGACAACGCTTACTCCAATGTAGGCAAATACAATGCACATCCAAATTTCATAAGCCAAGGGATCCAGAAAGGAAAAGACCCCTGGCTTGGACTTTTGAGGTTTTTTTATCATTATGGATATGCCCAGGCTCATGAACGGTTTTGAAAAGTCTATGACTTCTTCTCGGACCAGGGTGATGGTTAATGGTGCCACGGCCACATCAGCTCTCTGAAAGGAGAGAGAGATACAGTTTGTAGCTTACATGCCCCTCTACGTTTCATTACCAGCCTTCTCTTTCTCCTTCCTTCTACCACGCTCCCCAACCACTCTCTGATTCCAGAGGAAGATTTAATCAGGAGAAACTAACTAGTAGAGAAATGCTACACATTCCCCCCATCATACTGACATGTTATTTCCTTTCCGATTATTACTGATTGCAAGTAGGCTTAAAAATCAGAGATCTTGCCTTTCCCAGCCACTCAGCTCCTCTTGCCTGATTCATCCATTAATGTCACAATCCAAGGCTACTGACATCTGATTTCACTATTATGTTGCACAATTAAGAAATGGCAAAGTCTTATCACGCCCAGCAGACAAGACAAGAAGAAAGTCGACTGATGGGGTGATGCCAGGATGTTTATTTCCAGCAGGCGAGGCTTTTCTATGGCAAGACTCATGTAGATGGAGGGACATATTTTCAAAGACGCCTAAGTCTCTTCTGAAAATGGGAGGAAGGTTCCTAATTCACATAGGGCCAGACTTAGGTATTTAGATGCACCACAGATGCACCCAGCCAGATGTGCAAAATGGCCTAACTTCTATTGACTTTCATTTCAATTTTCCTAAAGGCAAAATCGAAACGGTCTCATGGACAATGTTGCTCTTGCAGAAACTGCATTTCCCATGTCAGAAAATCATTCCAATGGAAAGTACCTGCCCACCTCTAGTGAATAGTGATCAAGCCACCCAGCAACCAGATCAAAGTGGGACATGATGCACAATAAAGATAGACGTACGAAGAGCATGAAGGAGATTCTAAGGACCCATGCTGGTGTTAAGAGACTGACCAATCAGAAGGCTGAGATTTCAAACCCAACCATGTTGAGGTGCACCAACTTTGGGATTTCCATGGGGATGCCGGATCCCTGCTCTGTTCCAGGCCCCGCACTCCCTCCACCTCTTCCCCTGAACCCTCACTCCCACCCTGACACTTCCTATCCCTGCTCTATCTCTGCTCCACCTCTTCCTGACTCTGCTCCACCTCCTGCACACTAGTGAAAAGGTGCTGGGAGAGAGGGGGGGAAGTGATCCATGGGACCGCTGGTAGTGGGAGGCACGGGGTAAGAGGTGGGAAGTGCTGACGGGGTTGGCACTTATAGACCCATAGACTTTAAGGTCAGAAGGGACCATTATGATCGTCTAGTCTGACCCCCTGCACAGTGCAGGCTACAGAATCTCACCCACCCCCTCCTAGAATAATCCTTTCACCTATATCTCAGATATTGAAGCCTTCAAATACTTTGAAGACCCCAAGATGCAGAGAATCCTCCAGCTGTGATCTGTACCCCATGCTACAGAGGAAGGTGAAAAACCTCCAGGGCCTCTGCCAATCTACCCTGGAGGAAAATTCCTTCCCGACACCAAATATGGCGATCAGCTAAACCCTGAGCATGCGGGCAAGACTCACCAGCCAGACACCCAGAAAGTTCTCTATAGTAACTCCTATCATCCCTCCATTGACCTATTTCCCACTGATAATGAATGGTTCCACGAGGCGTACAGCTAGTTCGGATAGGAAGCCTAATCCGAACGAGCTAGTCCGTGCCGCATGTAGCCGTGCGGCACGGGGTCCGCCCTAGCCGGCATTTAAAAATGGCGCCGACCGGCTTTATGCCAATGAAGCCCGGGAAATTCAAATCCCGGACTTCATTTGCAACTCCGTATGTCCATCTAGTTCGAACTAGGGGGGTAGTGTAGACATTCCCCGAGGGTACGTCTAGACTACAGGCCTGTCGACAAAACTTCTGTCGACAAAGAGCGTCTACATTACATTCAGTTCTGTCGACAAAGCAAGCTGCTTTGTCGACATGGTAGTGTAGACGCAAAGGACAGTTTACATGCAATAACACCTTCTGTTGACAGAAACTCTGTCGACAGAAGGCGTTATGCCTCGTAACATGAGGTTTACCAGTGTTGACAAAACTGCTGAGTTCTGTCGACAGAACTCAGCGGTAGTGTAGACGCAGGTATAGTTTTGTCGACAAAAGTCCACTTTTGTCGACAAAACTCTGTAGTCTAGACACACCCTGAGTTACCAAGATCATGTTATCTCATCAAACCATCCCCTTGATAAACCCATCTAGTTTAATCTTGAAACCAGATAGATCTTTTGCCCCCATGGTTAGAAACCTTCGTCTAATCTCAAGTCTAAACTTCCTACTAGCCAGCTTATAACCATTTGTTCTTATGTCCACATTGGTATTAATCTTAAATAATTCCTTTAATAATTCCCCTTTGGAATAGGTGCGAAGTACTCTGTTGGTTTTGGAGTTGGATGCCTGAGTTATTTATCTGTGGGCTATTTATCTACTTTAAATTGCTCCTCTGCAGTGGGAGAGGCTCTCTGCATCATTACAGGCTTACCTCCTGGAAGAAAACGTTGATTATATTATGCTCCAGATGCTAGTTCATTAAAACATAGCTTGCAGGTTGGGAAAGGTCACACTGGTTGCCACGGGGTAGACCTTAAGAATGGTACTCTAATTCCATGGAAACTGACGGCACTAATAGAAATCCAACAGCAACCAGGCCACGGTGACATGATGAAAGGGTCATATTGTTCCATCAAAATGAGCATGAAGCATTAGAGACGGTGCTGCAGTAGCATTAAAACTCGAAGTGGAGCACACTGAGGGAACCATTCAAAGCATGAGAGGGAACTCAATCAAGAGAGAGAGGCAGCCAGAAAGGGCACCACTGGTATTTTAAGAGGGCACCATCTCCTAGTTCAGTGCGTAGGGAGACTAGAAGGGTACTTAGGTGCTGATGTGCAAACTCAAAAGGGGGTTGCCTTATTGAGGTGCCGTAAAGAGACCCATCATTTATCTAGTTCTTGAAAGGCCTTTGGCTGCTTAGGGCAAGAAATATCTGAGATGAGTGCGGCTCAGAACTCCTTCCTCTCCTGTGCTTGTTCTAACGGAAGCTGTCCTCAGCTCATCTGGAAGCCAGGCATATCAGAAATCTTTCCCGACCAACCCGTTTGCCTAGTCAATCAGTTTGCCTTTGGGCCTGGTAGCTGCCCTTTTGGAGGTCCCCCTCAAAATTAATTCTTATGAATGAGTGGACCAAGTGAGACACTTACACCATAAACCAACTCTCCCACCATGCCATTCCACGCTTTATTGTCAGGGTCCCTGGCTCCGTATTTCCCATCGCTCACTATCTCCAGCCTGTATTGGTAGCCCACGTGCTTCGCGATCTCAGCAGCAAGCTCCACGCAGTAGCCTTCATACCTCTCGTTGCCTTCGAACTGGTTGGCGTTCTTCTTGAGCATCACATATGGGTCTTCCTGGCAGAGAGAGGACACGACAGTGAGCCCTTCCCCCCTCCCGGAGATGTCCGACTTGGTGTCAAGCTCTCAGGCTGGGAAGCAAGGCACCAGTCTCCATGCGCTTGCAAAACGCGAGCGCCGAATCATTGGCAAAGTGGTTCAGCACAGTCTGTTCAACGCAAGCGTGGGCCAGGGAGTGCTTTGGTTGACAATCCTATTGTGCAGAGTTTGGTAGCTAGCCTAGCTGGGGTGCACCTAACCAACAGGAATTCTTCAGAGCTTCTCAAAGGGCAATAGAGTTTTCTACCCAAGGATCCCTAAGCATTTCACAGATAATCAAGCAAGCATTGATCAGTCTTGGTGAGACAGGCATGTCCATTGGCACCTTATGTTGAACGTTACTGAGGAGCTTATTGCTGCTGCAGAACAGGCCTGCTGATGGGACGTGGGGCAAAGAGAGCAGTTGCCATGGGGCCTGGTGATTCAAAGGACCCCCGTGGCTCCCAGCTACCACTACTGCAGCAATAGCTGTGCTCAGAGTCCCGGGCGGCGAAATGCAGAGCTCTGTGCGGTGTGCTCCAGATGGCGCTGGGGGATGTGTGTGTGCTCCAGGAGAACATAAGAATGGCCAGACTGGGTCAGATCAAAGGTCCATCTAGTCCAGTGTCCTGTCTGACAACAGTGGACAATACCAGATGCCCCAAAGGGAGCGATCATAACAGGTAATCCTCTCATGATCCCTCTCCTGTCACCCACTTCCAGAGAAACAGAGGCTAGGGATACCATTCCTACCCATCCTGGCTAGTCGCCATTGATGGACCTAACCTCCATGAATCTATCTAGCTCTTTTTTTGAACCCTGTTAAAGTTCTAGCCTTCACCGCATCCTGTGGCAAGGAGTTCCACAGATTGATTATGCGCTGAGTGAAGAAAAACTTCCTTTTGTTTGTTTTAACCCTGCTACCTATTAATTTAATTTGGTAATCCCTAGTTCTTAAGTTATGGGAATAAATAAATAGCTTTTCCTTATTCACTTTTTCCACACCACTCATGATTTTATAGACCTCTATCATATCCCCCCCTTAGTTTCCTCTTTTCTAAGCTGAAAAGTCCAAGTTTTTTTAATCTCTCTTCATATGGGACCTGTTCCAAACCCCTAGTAATTTTTGTTGCCCTTTTCTGAACCTTTTCCAATGACTATATGTCTTTTTTGAGATGAGGCGACCACATCTGTACGCAGTATTCAAGATGTGGGCATGCCATGGTACCATAGGCATACCAGGAGGTGCTGAAGGCTAGTTGTTCCTCCCTGCCCCTTCTACCTGGAGCCCCGCCCCTTCCGTGGGTGCAGAATCGGTCCCCGCACACCTCGCTCCAGGGCTTGGCGAGTCTGTCGGCTCACCTGCTCCATAATAATGGCTGAGCTGAGTTTTGCTCTGAAAGCCGGGATTCAACCTGATTGTTATGTATGCAGAGTACAGCATATCCTTCCCAAATGGACAGCCCCTGCTCTGTGGGTGCACAATGTAAAACACTGCTACAATATACCTACTTTCCTGAGATTCATGTCTCTTCCCGCTACCTGCTATACTTTCTTGTACTCTGGGCTTTAAGAGGGGAGACATTTTATGTACATATTTGATTATTTAAGGGAATTGGAAGTTTTTATGGCCCCTGCTTCAAGCACTAAGGACGTTATTATTATACACCAAGGCTGTGTCTAGACTGGCTGCTTTTGCGGAAAACCTTGCCAGCTATCTACACTGGTCACTAGAATTTGCCCAAGAACACCGACGATCTCATGTAAGATTGTCAGTGTTCTTGCGCAAATACGATGATGCTCCCGCTCGGGAAAAAGCCCTCTTGTGCAAATGCTTTTGCGCAAGAGGGCCAGTGTAGACAGCTAAAAACTGTTTTGCGCAAAAAAGCCCCGATGGCAAAAATGGCGATCGGGGCTTTCTTGCACAAAACTGTGTCTAGATTGGCACGGACGCTTTTCCACAAAAAGTGCTTTTGTGCAAAAGCATCCAGGCCAATCTAGACGCTCTTTTCTGCAAATGCTTTTAACGGAAACACTTTTCCGTTAAAAGCATTTGCGGAAAATCATGCCAGTCTAGATGTAGCCCACATGTATTATGGAGAAAGGAGTTTGAAAGGAAAGGGGCACACAGCATAAGGGAGCGAGAGTGGAGGAAAGAGGGAGGAATATCGGGGCTTCGACACGCAAGAGAACTTACGAGAATAGTAGTAACGATGTACGTCCGATTTGGGAGAATCACCGATTCATTGTCCCCTTGGGAGTCTGTGGCTGTGGGAACAAACTTATCATCTTCGTTCCAATCACCGATCTGTTAACGACAGTAAGTGCATGAAACCCTGCTGCCCTGTGAGCCTGTTCCGAAGACATGCCGAGAGGAGAACAATTTACCCATCCCTGTAGCCATCTCAGGATGTTCAGTAGCAACCAAACTCCTACTTCTCCTACAGTCCTGACCTCCTTCCCCGTCCTGGCCTTGAAAACCCAGAAAAATCATGATGCATGCTGTACGAATCATACAGGGGTTACCTGGCATATGTAAATATGACAACAATAACCTCACAATAGTAACAGAAGCACCACAATTTCCTCTGCTGTTTAGGGGAATAAATAACGAAAGAATCCCACATCACTATATGCTGACTGCTGGTAAATAATCTTTAAAAGTGACCGCTATTTATGCATGAGGTTTAAGTTGGACATTAGGAAAAAATTCCTAACTGTCAGGGTGGTTAAGCACTGGAATAAATTGCCCAGGGAGATTGTGGAATCTCCATCACTGGAGATATTGAAGAGCAGATTAGACAGACATCTGTCAGAAATGATCTAGATGGTGCTTGGTCCTGCTGTGAGGGCAGGGGACTGGACTTGATGACCTCACAATGTCCCTTCCAGTTCCAGTGTTCTATGCTCCTATGATGCTACAATTCTATGTAGCCCGTCTAAGCTGATACAAATCTAGTGTCACACTTCAACACTTGTGCAAGTGTCCTTTCATGCCTTGCAGAACCAGGACAACATTGGGGGGATGGCAAGAGACTTATTAGAAAGTGACAAAAGGGGCTGCCCCATTGGGAAAAGTTTGGAGTTGCACATGCAATTAAAAAGCTGTAAGGGGCAGAATTCTTGCTGCTACTCCGTGTTAATTACTACTCAGGAAAACAATCCGTGCTATCACTATACATAGGCAAAGCAGAGAGCCGGAGAGTATCAATTGGAAGATCTTCTTCGAAGGCTTGATTTTTAAGAGGTTTTCCATCATGTGCAGATGAAGGAGCATAAGGGGTTTCTCACCACATGATATGGGAGACTGTATTAATCCAAGGCAAGATCTGAAACCTGCGGAGGGCAGATTAGAGATCACGGCAATGTGAGAGAGACAACCCAGAGAGACGTCTCATCAATCTTTACTGCAGAGAAAAATGGAAAGTGTGTGAGGAAAGAGCTTTGACACGGAGCTCTGGGGCAGCACAAATGGAGAAAACACATATTTACTCATCATGTCTCACCTGACTGACCCCCTACATGGCACATGCTCTGGAAGAACAATGCAGAAGACTTTGTTGTTGCAGTAAGTTACAGCATAAAACCATATCTAATACTTCCCTGGGCTCACTTTGACCTCAGACTGAGGGTAACAGCAAAGCTCTGGGTGTGTCTAGACTACAGGGTTTTTTCGAAAAAAGTGGCCTTTTTTTGAAAAAAACTTCCCCTGAATCTAGACTGCTGCCGCATTCTTTCGAAAGTAAATCAAAAGAACGCGGCAATTTTTTTGACCGTGGAAAACCTCGTTTTACGAGGAATAACGCCTTTTTTCAAAAGTGTTCTTTTGAGAAAAGGCGCTATGTAATGCAAACTGTGCTTTTTCGAAAAGAGCATCCAGACTGCCTGGGTGCTCTCTTTTGAAAAAGCGGCTTGCTTTTTCGAAAGTATTGGTTGCAGTCTACACGTTCTTTTTCGAAAGAGGCTTTTTCGAAAGTATCTTTCAAAAAAGCCTCTTTCGAAAGAGGCTTGCAGTCTAGACGTAGCATCAGTGACATATATGGGGCAGGATGAAGTCCTCTGTTTCTTAACTGTGTATTTATTTATTTCTACTGTTTTAGTACCTAGAAGTCCCAGCCAGAGTTCAGAAACTGCCCCCCACCCCCGGCTCTCCACCGTACAAACACAAAATTAATATCTAATCATTCAATTCACATGGCTATCCTGAAGGAAAAAAAAATCTCTTTGACTAGTAAAAAGGGCTTTCCCCATGCAGGCTGCCAAGAGGATGGAATGAGCCAATTGTTATAAAAATACAAAAAAAGCAGGAAAAAATTCCCCCAAGGAATAACACATTTTAGGAAGTGCAGTTCTACTGGTCCTTTTTTGATAGCCTCCGATTTCACCGCTAACACTAGCAGGGTAATACACACCATATGCAATATTGCTTCTGCATAAATGAAATGAATCATGCTTGGCCCGTCTGGCTTGGGAATCTATAAACCACATGCTATTTTCCTCCTAATTAAACATACGTGTATTTTTTTTCAGTTGCTGACAGAAATCCCACATTATGTAAGGCTTAATAAAATTGACTCTGGTCCTGGAGTAGTTCCAGCATTCTTCGTTCTCCAACCCTGCCTTCTAAAGCAGTTTAAATTCCAAAGGACAGAAGGGGAAGAGGGGAGAGGAGGGAGGGGAGAAAAATCTCTCTGTTTGAGAGTTTTCCATATGGAAGTGGGAGATAAAAATGCGGAACCTGATTTTCAAAAGCAACCTGCACAGAGTGAGCTCACAATGTGTTGAGCTCTCTTGAAAATCTGGCTACTTATTTTGGTGCTTAAAAGGAAGTTGAACCCCTGTGAAAAACTGTCGTGTTGTGAATCCAACTGAAAATGCTAGCTCTTGTGTAAGATTCCCCAGACCAATTAGCCTTGTCCTAAATCTGCCCCCAGCGGTGTAAAACTTTCACTGACTTCAATGGGAGTGACGTTAGCCCAACACAGAGCACTGTTAAACATCTCTTCCATATTTTGTGTTTATTTCAACATGGTTTCTCATCTTTTTCTTCAGTCACACAGAGAGATGTAGTTCCTGCCCAAAGCTACGCAACTCATGAATTCTCCCTTTTAAGATTTATGAGGGGAAAAAGCTTCGAAGAGACAAACTCATCTTGTGTTAGACACCTTGACAACAGCTTTTAAACAGGAGCAGAACCAATTGTCTATTTTACCTTCCTGACCCCATCGTGTTTCACTTCAATCACATGGAGGGTGTAGTTGGTCCGACGTCCTTTCTCGTTAAACTGAATGTTGCCGGTTAATCCTTCGAAGCGCACCTTAAAAGGATAAATATCAGTGGAGAGAGCAAATTGATCAGCTTTGCATTCGATGGTTGACTACCAGCAGTCATAGCTGATAGGAATCGGCACGGTGTTACCGTCCAGGCCTGGATACAACACAGTTGTGCCAACTGTAGTTTCATTCAATGTAAACAAGAACAGTCTGGCTGTATTACACTGCTGTTTTCACTTAAGGCATGTCTTCACTACCCCCTGGCTTGACGGGCAGCGATCGATCCAGAGGGAGTCGATTTATTGTGTCTAGTATCAACGTGCTCTCCTATCGACTCCAGTACTCTACCAAAACAGGAAGAGTAAATGGAGTCAATGGGAAAGCATCAACTATCAACTGACTTCTGTGAAGACACCACAGTAAGCAGAGCTAAGTACATCAACCGTTATTCACATAGCTGAAGCTGTGTAACTTAGGTTGACAGTCTGTGATAGTGTAGACACAGCCTTAGTTACTTGGGACCCAATACGAGGCTCAGACTTTCAGGAAAAACTCTGAACTTGCTAGAGAGACAAGAGGAGGTGAGGTAATAGCTTTTATTAGAGCAACTTCTGTTGGTGGTAAGACGAGCTTTCGAGCCACACAAAGCTCTTCTTCAGGTCTGAAAAAGGTACTCCTAGAGGAGTACAGTAAATTCAAGGGAGAACAGATTCCTTAGCATAAGTAGTTAGCACATATGTTAAAGTAGTGGTGCACAGCCTTTTTCCCAGTGCAACTCCCGTGCAAAAAAAAAAAAAGTGTGGCCCCTTTAAATGCCACTCTGCTCGCCTGCCGCTCCCCCTCCCTCCGTCCCTGCCGTGTGTATGCTGAGCCAGGAAAAAAGTGGCGGCCGGCCTGGCACTGCAACCCTCCTGGAAGACAGCCACAACCCCCCCTCGGGTTGCGCACCGCTGTGTTAAAGGACCATTCCAGATAGAGTGGACCATTATTGCTTCTCCAGTCATAGGACCAAAAGAGGGAGATAGTGGGATACAATTGTTGCAATAAGCCATGAATCCAGTGTCTATCATACTATGAGTTTACTGTCTAGCAGAGTAATGGACCCTCACTCCTGGCCTTCCCCCAAGCTCATCTTCAGAAGCAAGCTCTCCACCGGCCAGACACATCAAGCTAAAGTGGCACCCAACCATGGATGCAAAACCTACAGAGTGCAATGAACAACACCTCTCAGAACACATCTTTTAAAACCCATCCATGCCAATCACACAATGTGGGATACCTCCTCCAGTGCCCTAGATGCCCCAATAACAACTGCAACAATCATTACACTTTTATGCCTAGAATAGTCTGTCATCAAACATAAGAACAGCCATATTAGGTCTGACCAAAGGTGCTTCTAGCCCATGGAGTCTTCTGACAATGGCCAATGCTAAGTGCCCCAAGAGGGAGTGAACAGAGCAGGGACTCATCAGGTGATCCCTCCCCTGTCATCCATTTCCAGCCTCTGACAAACAGAGGTTAGGGACACCATTCTTGCTCATCTTGGCTAATAGCCATTGATGGACCTATCCTCCATGAATTTACCCAGCTCTTTTTCAAACCCTGTTATAATCTTGGCCTTCACAGCATCCTCTGGCAAGGAGTTCCACAGGTTGTGTGAAGAAATGCTTCCTTTTGTTTGTTTTAAACCTGCTACCCATTCATTTCATTTCACCCTAGAATGAACTCACACAAGAAATGCTAAAAGACTTTGGATCTCAAGAATGGGACAGCAGGACAGAAGGATAAAGATGCAGGACACAGGGTCTGCAATAGCAGGGACCATGAACATCAGGGTTAGAGAATGTCAGTAAAGCTCTGTATAGGGAACACTGAACAATAGACGGGCCACTGGAGTCAGAACAACTCAGATTCTATCCTCAGCTTTATCATTAACCCTACGCAAGTCACTGCTTCTCTGTGCCTCAGTGTTCCTGTCTGTAAAATGGTGATAATGCTGACCACCTTTATAATTTTGCTGTAAGAATTTCTCACAGCTCTGCCTCCACACTGTAAAGTGCATCTTGCATCTTGGTTGTTTTAGCATTTCTCTTGGTATCCATTTAGCCTCTAAGAAATACTCTCCACTGAGTCTCACTCAGGAAGCTACCAAAAAGCTAAACATTGTTTCTTTTTGCAAAGAGTTGCGTGGGGTGGTTTCTAACCTGCTGCAGTGCTCTCTGAATGTCGATCCCTTGGCCCCAAGGAACGGCTGGATTTGCAAGGCAGTCCCCAGCATTCCCACGCCGGGAGATGTCAATCCGTTGCCTCCGCAGGCTCTGGAAAGCCTCCGCCATTACCCGAACCCCATCATAAGTAAGAGCCGACGTGTACTAGAAAAGGAACGTGGAGAGGTGTGTTGTTCAAGAGGGTGAGTTATCTGACAGCTCTTCTCCCCCAAAATAAAATAGTGTGCCCCGAAGTTCCTATCTAAAGCCTTGTTTCAAGACAATTTTTTATATTTTCATCCTTCCGTTTAATATTTTCCATACAATAGCCTCTGGCTGCCTGTAATCTCCCATGTCTTGTTGACTCCTGGAAGTTTGTATCTTGTTTCCCAGAAGAAACTAGGTAAGAACATAATTTGCTGCTGCAGAGCTAAAAGGACTTGCTGTCTTAGCCTTCCTGAATTGCCTTCAGAAAGAGCTTCTCTCCTTACCAGAGAAAAGTACCTTAGTCATAATGCCTGAAGAGTGCTCAGTCTTAACAGACCTATTATCCAAGTCTTTCCACCTAGGTCAAACTGGCCTTAAAATACACCGTTAAGGGCTATTTTGTGCAGTGCATGAAATTTCAAGAGCAAACTACTCATGGTAGTCATGTATGGATACTAATTCCTCTCCCCCTCCCTGCTTTTTTTTTTAACGTTCATTTTAGTCATAATGCCTGAAGAGTGCTCAGTCTTAACAGACCTATTATCCAAGTCTTTCCACCTAGGTCAAACTGGCCTTAAAATACACCGTTAAGGGCTATTTTGTGCAGTGCATGAAATTTCAAGAGCAAACTACTCATGGTAGTCATGTATGGATACTAATTCCTCTCCCCCTCCCTGCTTTTTTTTTTAACGTTCATTTCCTTGCCAGAGGATGTGGTGAAGACTAGCACTTTATGGGTGTATCTAGACTACAGGGGTTTTTTGAAAAAAAGTGGCCTTTTTTCGAAAAAACTGTACCTGCGTCTAGACTATCACCACGTTCTGTCAACAGTAAATCAAAAGAACACGGTGGTTTTGTCAACGGCGGTAAACCTCATTCTATGAGGAATAACACCTTTTTTCAAAAGTCCTCTTTCGAAAAAAGGCACTATTGCATGAAAACAGGGCTTGTTCAAAAGAGAGTGTCTAGACTCTCTTTCAAAAAAGGGAGCCACTTTTTCAAAAAAACTTCTTGTTGTCTAGATGCTCTTTTTCCAAAGAGGCTTTTTCGAAAGATACTTTCAAAAAAGCCTCTTTCGAAAGAGGCTTGCAGTCTAGATGTAGCCTAAGCTAGATCATGACGGTTAAGAATTAAAGTCGAAGTTGACTTTCACATGAGAATCTACTTCACGAGTTGCTGGTATCTTTCTCAGAGAAATTCCTTCAGGACAGAAATTTTGCTTGCTGGGTTTTTGTCTCAAAGTGTAAGTGTTCAGGAGTTCGTTACAAATAAAATATCCATGTCCTATGACCCTATATATTGATTTGAAATGTGCATATGCGGTAACACATGGATTTTCTGCCATGGAATCTTTAACTTCCATCTTTAACCAGTATAAGGTTTAGGCAGTTGAACGCATCTCACCAAAGAGAATATTTCTAAGAGCATTGCAGCTACTTCCTAGTATTACAGTGACAGATCTGGGTAGGAGACTGAGTTGCTGGAAAACAGATTGTGCTCACAAACACATTAGCGCACACATTTGAGCTAGCATGTTTTTAAATGTCTCAGAGAGGGAACTGTGTTAGTCTGTATCTGCAAAAACCATGAGGAGTCTGGGAGACTAACAGATTTAGTAGGGCATGAGATTTCTTGGATAAAACTACCTGATGAAGTGAATTTTACCCAAGAAAGTTTATGCCCTAGTAAAACTATTAATCTCTAAGGTGTCATAAGAATTCCTCGATGTTTTTAAATGTAACCTTTTTTCCAAGTCTATGCAAAGCCAAAGTCTAAGACTAGGAACTAAACACCCAGAGGTGAGATGATAGCTACCGAGCCAGATGAATACTACCTAAAACAAATAGCTTTCAATACCACTTGCCTTTGGCCTCTTCCAGTCAACTCGAGGATGTTCTCTGGCATCACTGTTCTTCCACTGTTGCATGATCCTTGCTGGAACGGTGTCTGTGTAATTCACCAATTGGAAGCCGGTCACATTTGCTCCACTCTCCTTGAATTTTGCCAGGTCAATGTCCATGAACCCCTAATGGAGGAGAGAAACAAAAGGAGAAATGACCCGGCCCTGGGGAAAATGGTTTATTTATAAATAATGGGATGTCCTGTCTCTGGATGCCTAGTTCTGGGATCTCAAGGAACTTCTGTATCCACTAGAGTGGTAACAAATGGAGCCATCCTACTTTCTCTCAAAAGTTCTGAATTCAAACCTAAGTTTCACCTTGAGTTAAACTGAATGAGTTCCCATTGTACACGGCCAACAGAGGGTGCTGTGTACAATGACATGAATTTCAAAGCAATGACATTCATAGGCATAGTAACAAGACCACATTTTCATTAGAGGAGGTTGAATAATGGAAAAAATTACTCCCAAGTAGTGATTCAATGAATGTGTCAAAATTTGCAGTGGGTACTGGTTGCAACAAATTATTCAGCCAGCTATAACTTTTATGCAGTCAAATATCAATGGAGGGATAATTCACTTTTAAATTATGGTCTTTAAAAGAACAGAACATGATGGAACAATAATTTTTCAGTAAAATAAGAGCTAAATAATCCCATTTACACCATCAAAGGAACAGATCGGTGAAAAAGATGCTGTCAGGTTGATATTTTTGTAATTTTTATTAAAAGGAAACAGCTAGCTACATTTTTTTTTACTCTTCAAAAGTTTTAACTGAAGCCTGTTTTTACTGTTTTTTCCCCACATCCTTCACACAAATATACATGTGACTGCCCATACAAATAAACACAACACTGCTGTCGAGTTGCTCACAAGAGGTGCATTGCCAACACTCATGTTAATTTATTTTTAAAGAAAACCCCTAAATCATTCTCTAGGAAATAAAAGCAAATCAAGAAGCAGACGGACTTTGTAGGCAGATATAGAGGGCAAGAGAACAGGTCACATTTGGGGCTTTCGAACTTTGTCTGTATACCCTTTCACAATGAATACATAATGGACCAGACTTGAACTTTCCCCGTGCTAACGTGTAGCGGTCAGGCAGAACTGCGGTACTTGTGCTCCCTGGATGCAAGCCTCAGAGGTGAGATAGCTGAAAGCCCCCCCAAACACCACTAGCCATTCTGCAAGGAGCATAGCTAGGTTGGGCGGGGCGGTGCTAGTAACAGGACAAAATGGAGGCATGGGAGCTGCTGTTCACCACATGCCCCTCCCCACAGTGTACTCTCCTCAGGCACTTCAGCATCTGCCACGGACACTGGGATTCTCTTCCCCAACTCTTGACACTCCTCGGGTTGCTCTGATCTCCAAAGCCAAAATACAGCCCCTCTCCCCTGACACTGGCTCACCAAAACCTGGAGCATAGGTGGTTAAAAAATGTTACTGTGTCTGCCAGCCTGATCCAAAACGCTCATCAGCTACTACAGGCTTTGGATTGGGCCTTTAAATAGAAACAATTAAAGGAGCAGCGTGGTTGCAAGAACCGGAGATGAGCGGTTCTCTGGCTCAGGAGAGTCGTAAATGGTTTAACAGGGACTTTAAAGACTCCTCTTCCAGTTTTGTGTCCAGCAATTTAGTATCCATCTGCGTGCTTGTTTGCGTTAGAGGTACACATTCTGTATAGATGGGGTTTTTTTTTTTTGCTCTTTAGTGCAGCAGGGCTAGGTAAAAAAGAAGTTATTTTGTGAGACATAATTCCCTCAGAAGGTTAGGTTAGTACATTTCAATCCCCTTCGTCATCCCCAGCGTTGAGGTCTCAGAAACCCAGGGCTGTGACTAATGCATGGGGAATGCAGCTGAACGCTGTCTGACATCTTAATGCCTGTCAGACCAAGTGACACACAGAGCTCCCAGGGTTCAGAAAAAGTGTTTTAGTAGATCACCGGCTGGTTATCCATGGCTGGAGCCAAATTACACTGGCATTTGGCTTCTGGGATGAACTCAGGGAAATATAATCCATCAAAGGAAATCATTGCCTCAAAGCAGGTCATAGCTGGGTATCACCAGTTTCTCTTCAGGAAGACCATCAGAGCATGGAGGAAAGAGCAAGGTTGGAGCCAGGCACCAACAGGAAGACACTACTGGTGTCCGATAAACATCTCCAAAACCAGGCATAAAGAGGGGAGGACATGTAATGGCTTTGGAAACAGCAGCTAGATAAGAGTGGCTGAAAATACTGTCCTGTATTGTTTTTATAGATCAGAACACCCCAAAAAGCAATGCTAAGCCAGAACTAAATATGATTCAATGGAATTCATCCGGCAGAGCAGGGACCCTCTGCAGAATCAGAGGTCAGACTGAAAACTTGAAAAAAAATATTGTCTTTAAAATCTGTTTAGCTTTCTACCCGGCATCATTTCTGGGATAGGCCAGGGAGTGTGGACAGTTCCAGAGAACATAGGGCCTCAAAGAACCATTGGATCATCTAGGTTGACCTTCTAGGTAGCATGGGCCATTGAATTTCACCCAGTAACCCCTGTATGTGTCCAAGCCCCTTAGCATCCACACTGCATTGTACACCTGGGTTGACCCTTGCTAGACCTGGGTTTCAGACCCATACTAAAGTGTCCATTCTGTACTATGCGGCATTTCTCACTCGCGTCTGAAGTTTGACCTCCGTTCACACTGCAAAATGACAGGATTGGATCCAAATTGCCACAAGACTGGGGCTCTGACCTCAGCAGGATCCTGGGACCCACATCCTGAGAGCTTGCTGACCCAAGTCAGATTGATTTGTAAGCAGAAGGAAGGGGGATCAGGCTCAAATATACGTCAGCGTCGGGGCATGGAGTGCGGTGTACACCCACCATAAGTGACTTTTCCAAGGCCCTGTGGAGCTAGAGGTTGATCCCAGATCTCCTGAGAGGCCATTGAGTGGTTTGGCCAGAAGACCTTCCTTCCTCTCTGGAGCATGCTTTTTGCTTGAGCGAAACGATACCAAGCAAAACACTCGTTTCCAAATGACTGTAGCTCAGAGAGGCCTGACTGAATTTAAGTAGCACCTGTCATTGCAAGGTGCTGAGAAGTCACTCCGAAGGGAACAAGATGTTGGGTGTTTCAAAACGAGGTATACTTGGTGTCTCCTCTTATCTTTAGGCCTGACTACTTGGGAGAAGCCTCTCTTGCCATTCCTCTCATGGCGCATTAGAATTAGCCCCTTCATTAAAGGAGCCAATCTGCCTGAGCCCCTTTCCAAGATGTCTTCCAATGGGCCTTCTTTTCCTCCACAGGATCACTTATGTCTCAGCTCTGATGACGACAGCAAACTTTACCTGTCCTCGTTGTGACAGAAAGGTGCACAAAAGAGACAGAGCGAGGAGGAGACTGACTGGAAGAAGGTGAGGAAAAGAGGCACAGCTATCATCACATAGGGTACGTCTAGACTACAGGCTTTTGTTGACAGAGCCTTTGCCGATAGATACTGTCGACAAACAGCGTCTAGACTACATCCAGTTCTGTCGACAAAGCAAGCTGCTTTGTCGACATGAGAGTGTAGACGCAAATGATAGTGTAGATGCAATAATGCCTTCTGTCAACAGAACCCTGTCGACAAAAGGCATTATTCCTTGTAGAATGAGGTTTACCGCCGTCGACAAAAGTGCGGAGTTCTGTCAACGTTATGTCGCCAGAACTCAGCGGCAGTGTAGATGCAGGTATAGTTTTGTCAACAAGGGTATGTCTAGTCTACCTCTGTCACCAGAGCCATGTAGATTAGTTTATTAGACATACCCAAATGAAGCGGCGATTTAAATAATGGCCGCTTCATTTAAATTAAAGTGGCTGCCGTGCTGAGCCAATCAGCTGTTTGTCGGCTCAGCGCTCTAGTCCGGACGCTCCACGGTCAACATCAAAGGCATTTGTCGACCGCCCCGGTAAACCTAATCCCACGAGGCATAACGGGGCGATCGACAAATGCCTTTGATGTCGACCGCAGAGAATCCAGACTAGAACGCTGAGCTGATAAACAGCTGATCAGCTCAGCATGGCAGCCATTTTAATTTAAATGAAGTGGTGATTATTTAAATCTCCGCTTCATTTGGGTGTGTCTAGTAAACTAATCTACATGGCTCTGGCAACAGAGCCATGTAGTCTAGACATACCCTAAAAGTCCACTTTTGTCGACAAAACTCTGTCATCTTGACACACCCATAGAAACAACAATCCCCCTATGTCCTGTCTGTTTTGTGTTGGCCCCCTGCTGTAAAGCAGGCTTTAATGTGGTTGGGATTTGTCCCTCTTGAGGATTTCCTCAAAAAGTAGCATGCAGGAGCTGTAATGGCTCCCGTACCACCTCCCTCCCAGTTTCCTGCTTTGAAAAGAGACAGAGGCATGGCTGGGGAATTCCTGCCCTTCCACGATCCCTGATGGGTGGGATGACCTCTCGGAACCATAGGCAATTGACATAATGTAGAGCAATCTTTAGGCTGCTCTAGATGGTAGCAACAGACTCGCCTGCCATGCACATATTTCCACTAATCCCATCCTGAGCTCTGCTGGCTGCAGGAAGGCCTGAGTCTAGCAACAGAGGTGGCGGAGCATTTTGTATGAGGAGGAAACTGGAGTATAAGCGCAAATGAAAATTGCTGATGGGAGACATCAAACGAGACCTTTCCTTATATTACTGCAAAGAATGTAGATTTTGTTCTAGTCCTGACCAAAGTAAACAATAACCTCTGGATCTATTCTACCCTCAAAGCACGCTAAATCTGATGGGAACCACACTGCAAAAACACAATCACTGGAAACAATTAATGTATGTGGACATGTTAACGGCAATTTGAATCACTCATGAGGGTGACTTGTGCCCGAAAGCTTTGATTGGCATGTGATTGGTCAGCTTGCTCCTCATGAGGGAATTATGCAGAGTATCTTAAAGGAGCGTGCATAAAATCTCCATTATATTCCCCTCTGCATGTGTTAGGTGGTGTATATCCAGTAACATAAAAGCTATGTTAGAAGGGATGTGCAAAGTCTATGGGCACCTCATTGATAAATAAACTGTCTCTTTCATCTGTAAAGCAAAGATGCCTTGTAAGTTCAGCTGCACAGACCTCTCGGGGAGAGGA